TTTTGTTGGTCAATCTTAATTATAAGCTTCAAAATGACGTTCATCAAGGCCCTCATTCCTCTTGCGCTTTACCTTGCTGGAGCGCAGGCTAAGTCTTGCTCTGCTGGTGGTAAGCCCACCGCTGAGTTTTGCTCAAAGGACCTTCCTCTGTCGTGTCACAACACCACCGCCGTTCAAGACACTTGCTGCTTCATTCCCGCTGGCCAGCTTCTTCAGACTCAATTCTGGGATAGCGACCCCGTAGCTGGACCTCATGGTACATCCAACCAACAACTCATCATCTCAATGTTATGAATTAACAATTTCTAGACTCCTGGACCATTCACGGTCTCTGGCCCGACTACTGCGACGGCACATATCCCCAGTTCTGTGACAAGTCCCGCGAGTACACCAACATCAAGGACCTCGTAACCAAGTTCCTCGGCAAAAAGACCGTGTCCTACATGGATAAGTACTGGGTCAGCCAAGACGGCAATGACGAGTCTCTCTGGGAGCACGAGTTCAACAAGCACGGCACATGCATCAGCACCCTCGAGCCAAGCTGCTACACCAACTACGAGACTGGCGCTGAAGCCGCTGATTACGTCAAGAAGACCATCTCCCTGTTCAAGACTCTTCCTACATACAAGTGGCTCGCTGAGGCTGGTATCAAGCCTTCCACGACAAAGACTTACACTGCCGATGAGATTGTGGATGCTTTGGCGGAACACCATGGCGCTCGTGTCACCATTGGCTGCTCTAATGGCTCATTAAGTGAGGTTTGGTACCATTTCAACGTCAAGGGCTCGCTGCAGGACGGCCAGTTTGTGTCTACTGAGCCTGATGGAAGCAAGAGCTCTTGCCCAGACACCGGTATCAAGTATGCTCCTAAGAAGTAAGCAACAAGCATATCTTTGGCCTTGTAAAATGAAGATGAATATGTATTCTGGATAGATTATGATGACAATGTAAATAAATATTATTATTAGGGCCGTGTGAACGTTGATTCATCCCATCTAAAACGTTGCTTCGTAATACTTTCGTATCTTGTCACATTCCTCCATCAACTCTCGGTCACAATTAGCCTTGATAGCCTCCTCCCATATGGCCTTTTCAAGATCGTATCCAGCGACGTCTTTGATCTTGTCCACATCGTCTCCCCAGAGTCGCGATAGAGTTCCGTCAGGACGCTCAGGTACGAGGTCTTCCAGCACCTGATTCGGATGCCTAGTATCGAACTTGACTCTGTTGAGATGGGCAAACATTGTGCTCGTAATCTTGACTTCGTTCTCGGTTATCCTTTGTTTTCGCTTCCGTGTAGATACGGTTGTTTGGTTTCGTCCTTTCTGTGTTTGCAGCTTCCAGTCTTGCTCAGGATCAGCCTGCCAGATACCGCTCCCCCAGTTGATTTTCTCATCAGTAATCAGCGTAGCTGGCTTTGCGACCTGCCAGTAGGGGTTGCCTAGAACCAACGCACTCTGCATGAAAGTCTCCTTGTCGCCTGATCCCCAAGCACCCTGCGAATGAAGTTGATAATAGAACTTTGGCCCGTAAAAGTTGTAGTATGCCGCGAGCAAGAGACTGTCTGCGTGCCTCGCTTTGTTGTATAGCATTACTCCGGATTCTGAACTTCTGGAGTCGATAGTAACGTTGGGCGCCTTGGCTCCAGCAATCTTGTAGAAGAGGGGAGATATCGTTGGCAGCCAAAAGTCGGGCCATGTCACAAGTCCGCGACTTTTATACGGTTCCACGGTGAGGAGATGATCGGGATTTCGAATTGGAAAGGCGTCGGAATCAAGGAATAGGATGTCTTGAAAGCTGGAGAAGAGAATCGACAACGGCTTGTACTGATACTTTTCAATCGTGGGTTGCTTAACGGATGTTGTATCAGGCAACTTTAAGAAATCGTCCATATTCAAGCATTGCACCTGCAGACTGGATAGTGTATTGTTGCACTGTTCGTGCTCAGCTTCGCTTGCCGAGTCGAGAAAAAGCTGGACGGGTAAACGCGACCCAACATGCCGTAGCATCCGTATGGCCGTCGCTGCTACTCCAACTGCTGACCCTTTGGCAGTGATGACAATACCCTTGGTGTTGCGTTTGAACGGTACTTTCGGAGCCAAGTGTCGAAGGCTTTGCACAAACTTTGCATGATTCTCTTTCAATGATTCGACTTCCTCATCAGATACCTCCAACCAGTCCGTGTGTATCTGCGCCTTTGAGCCATGAGGATCAAACTTGTCGCGCGATAGAGAATTAGGCGGTTTGATCTTATCACCATGAGGTTCCGCGGCGTAGAATTCCGTAACAAGGTTCTCCCAGAATCTCGTCGTCTGCTCAGTCGGCCCAGTAAATTGAGGCCCGCTCGTAGAGATAGGGTTTGGATTTGGCGGGGTTGAAGAGTCGGATTGAGTTTGGTTAGTTTGGGTGAGGCTTGGTGAGGAGACTCTCTTGTAGGCGACAGAGAGATCTGCCCAGAATTCCCAAAGCGTGAGGGCGCAGATGAAACAGATGAAAACGCCAAGAATTTTGACGAGACGATGGCGCGTGGTTACGACGCTGACCCATTTCCCGCTTTTGGAGGCGTCATCGCGCCAAGACCGGAGCATCGCGATGATAGTTGAGGAATTGACTTTGGTTTTGGTTTTGACTTTGGCTTTGGTGTTGGTTGTTGGGATATCAATTGACTTCTGACTGTATCAGTGGACAAAGTGAGTGGATGCAGGCTCGAGACCAGCGCGATATCGTTGTTTGCTGTGAATTAACGAGTATCGTCAAAATTGGAGCGTGTCGAGTTTTCTGGTAGCGTTGAACAATTGTCGTTGCGCATTGTCAATACCTGTCCAAATCCCCCCTTTTCTTGCGTCGGATGATGTTTGAGAATGGTCCAGGAGTAGGTTCGTAAAGTTTTGAGACGTCTTTTGAGGGTTTCGTCGCAAACTCTGTAGGAGATCAACCGGTCATAGAGCAACAGCTCAAGAGAATCATGTGATTTGAATCATGGCAGTTACGTCAAAACAAAACAGGAGAGAAACAATGAGGAGAAGAAGGTAGATGAGAGACGTGAAACGCTGCTGACAGTCAGCCCAGATCAAAAATAAAATGAAAGGAGCTGTTGGCTGTGCAGAGATCATCAGCTTTCACGTGATTCACAGAGCATTACGCAATGCCGCCGCGTTTCCCGATACCATGCCACAATCCGATGTCTCACAATAGAACAGTCAATTGGGCTTACTTCTTAGTGTCACATTCTATTTACATGCATATTGTTTAATTGTTTGTATTTATTGATCCTTTGTTAATAGTTAACTACCTACCTATGTAGTTGACTGTTGTTTATACTGGTAAGGTTAAGCTTTAATTATCTTGCTCTCTAATCGAGAGAGATCTCAGTCTGACGTCATGATGTAACCCGCTCGTAAACACAAAACCCCGCACTCAATTAACTCTTCAGACAATTGGGGTCGTCTCCTCATCGATATTGATCCCAAAACCCTGCGCAGCCATGGAGTAACTCTGATGAACAGCTTCACTGGCATAGACCCTCATCTCCTTCTCATAAGCAGCTGTGACACCCGCACTGTACCCGCCAGCTTCACGCAGTAATCGTCCAAGCAGCGCTGAATCACGGACAGCCGTGTTAGCACCAATCCCGCCCGCAGGTGTCATCGAGTGAGCTGCATCGCCTATGACCGTCACGCGAGGCTCATTCTTCCACTCAGGTACACCTGAAGGCGTCGAGCAGGTGATTTTCCAGAACGCAGCTTCACCCTCATCCATTTTGTCGATTAGAGCCTTGAACTTTGGGTCCCAGTCTTTAGCAATTGACTTTGCGATGTCAGCGGCGACTTTTCCGACAATCGCGTAGTTGTCGTTCGGCGCGCGAATGACACCTGGAGCTCCGCCCATGGTCCAGCCAAAGCTCACATCTGGGTTGTTCATATCTCCCGAGCGAACATTTGTCATGAGAAAGGCGTGGCCGTCGGGGCGTGTATCGTCGCGGAGTCGGAAGACTCCCTCGCCGAGCTGCTTGAATGCTGTTGTGGGGGCTTGGCCGTGAATACCCCTCGCGCCAGTGTCGTAGACTTTCAACTTCCCACCCGAGACTTGTCTCGCAACTTTTGAGTAGATGCCTTCACCGCCAACAAGCATAGATCCTTCGATGGACTTTGTTCCGTCGGAGAAGATGGCGCAAACACCATCGTCGGTTAATTCGTAGCCTGTAACGTTCTTGGACCATTCAATGTAGTCTTCGCAACCCTCTGCGAAAATTCTTCTCATGTCACCTCTGGCAATACCAACAATCTTGCCATCTCGCGATGAGAGATTCTCCGCGACGACATGCTCAGTCTGTTGGCCAGTGACGGCATCGAATGCACGATATCCACCACCGCCCGTCTTGCCGCAGGCATCCCAAAAATGCTGCCATGTCTTCTTATCGAGAACAGATTCAATGGCGTCTAGACCCTCCACTGAAAGACGGAGCCTGTACCCTTGGGCGCGAAAGATGAAAGATTCATCGCGCTCAAAAATCTTAAAAGGGATCTTAGACTGCTTGAGAGATTGCGCCAGTAGCAATGAAGCGAGGCCGGAGCCTGAAATGAGGATGGGTTTCGTGACTGACATGTTGTGTTGTTGATGAATTGAGGTTCACAGCGGGCTAGGCTACGATGGAATGCAAGGTCTAGATAAATACCCGGCAGTGTTCTTGACTGGCATCTGTGGCACATCTGGGGCTGACAAACTACCATCTACATCGTGGAGTCTACCGCGCGCTATGGTGCAATTCTGAGACCCGAGATAAGGTTGAAGGCCTCAACAAGACGGCAGCTGGACATCGGAACATTCGCGGTGTCCGGAATTTCCGAATGCGGGCCTTGTGAAACCTTGGACATTTGTAAGCTGACATATTCACTGTTGTTCCCGTAAATAATCATCAGTCAGCCTGTATCATCGGTTTGCAAAATACAATTTGTGCATCCATTCAATTGGTGACATGTCTGAAATGCAATTGAAGGTGCTTATTGACTGCACTGTTTAGAAATGAGCTGTGCAACCTCGCTAGTCTGCCGAATAACCTCCACCATCTCGTCCCCGCCAAGCACTGGGCTGATAGAGCAGATCCTCAGAACGACTCTCCCGCGTAGCTTTGTAGTCAAAACCAACCCAATATTATTTTCAACCAAATGTTTTGAGATCGCAGCGTTCAGTTCATCCAAATCCTCCTCAGTCTTTCCCGCAGGTGCATATCGGAATGTCACTATCGCCATACTCGCCCGACTTGTGAGTTGCCAATCTGACAACTTTAAAATCTCGGCTTCAGCAATTTCTGCCAGATGGAACCCGTGATCAATCATCTTCCCAAATCTGTCCACGCCGAGGACTCGTAGGGTGAACCATAATTTCAGCGCTCGTGAGGGACGTGTTAATTCCATGCCAAGGTTCCAAAAGTTGGGCATCTCTTCGTCATCGAGAGCATCGCGAAGATAGTCGCCGTCGTTGTTGAAAACTTTGACCAAGCTGATCTTGTTTCTCAAAAGGATGAGACTGCAACTGTATGTTTGGAACAGCCATTTGTGTGCATCCCAAGAGATACTGTCTGCCGATCCAAGACCGTTGGCGACAGAGCTTCGAGTTGCAGCCAGGGAAGCTGACGCGCCATATGCACCATCAACATGGAGCCAAATGTTCTCCTCATCGCGTAACTGGGCGAGCACCTCCAGTGGATCGATGCTCCCAGTGTTTGTTGTCCCGCATGTCGCCACTATTACAAAAGGCTTCAGACCAGCCTCGCGGTCCGCTTTGATGGCATCTTTCAAGGCACTCACGTCCATTTGAAAGCATTCATTAGTTGGAACAACTCGAATTTGACTCCTCCTGATACCAATTATGCGGAGGGCTTTCTTGACAGAATGGTGTGTCTGATCAGAGAGATATGCGACGCCCAGGTGTTCAGAATCGGGCTCCAATATACATTCCCTTGCAAGTACCATGCCGCTCATGTTTGCCATAGAGCCTCCTGAGACAAAGATACCTCCAGACGTATCTGGAAGTCCAACTTTGGCTGACAGCCATTGCAGCAGCGTCTGCTCAACAATAGCTACACCAGAGCCCTGCAGTCTCGATCCAGCGAAAGAGTTGAAAGCGCTAGACAGACAATCACCTATCCAAGAAAGTGGCGAGGTAGGTGCTGGAACAAAGCAGAAACACTTGGGATGGTTCATTCGCATTCGATAGTCAGAGATGGTGAACACATCCTCAATGGCTGCCTCCACGGAGTGAGCACCGCCAGGAGTGCTGATTGCTTTGAGTTGAGAGACCTCAGTTCCTCCGGCTACTCGTAAGAGAGGGTCTTCGCCGACCTTCTGGGTAGCCTGGAAGATCCGATCGAAGGCGGCTTGGAAGGTAGAGCTTAGTGAGTCTAGTTCTGCACCTTGGTCTGGGGGGCCAAAAGAGTTCATTGTAGTCTACAAGCTTCGTGTATAGTGGCAAGTAGTTTGAGTTTAGGGAATCGCGCCTTTATAGGTCTGATGCGGCTTGGAGCGGCTTGCGGGTATTACGTGAAGGACACTGAAGGGCGCGAAATCTGACCGAGTCGAGATAGCTTCCCCGCCTTTTGTTGTTGGCGCTACAGCGAAGCATCGATTGCCAAGTCCTTCGATATATATCGTGCTTTGTTTCAGAAGATTCTCTTGTCCTATTGCGACCTGTACTTTATGTACGGTAGTGAGTCGCAATGCCAATATAGCACCATCTATTCCTGACTGTGCAGTGTTGCGATGAATCTGACTGTGAGGCTCTCATGCCACTGGCGAGCCAATCATGCATAATGGATTTCGCCAACGCTACGCCAACACACACATACTTCTCTCTCACCGGCTAGTGATCGGACTTCAAAAGTGCGCCCTACACCGGAAAGACTATAGCCGAGGCGGTTTGGATTGTAAGCTTCATCTACTAAGCACTAACATCAGACAAACCCTCTGCCGCTACTTTGATAACCATCTCGTTAAACAGATCCCACCACTCAATATCTGGAACTGAGCGAATTCGCGGGTCAGGCATCACCAGAATTATGTTTAGCTTCCCTGCAAATGTCCAAGCCCATGTTTGAGCTGAGTTTGAATCAGTTAGTTTCGTTGTAGAGCAAGAACGACGTGGAGGAGAGCAAGAATATTGCACTTACGCCCAAACAAGTTGCTAACTCGTGAATAAAACGAAAAGTCGTCAATATTCAGTGCAGGCTTATCATTTGGATCTAGAGATCCGTATGACCCTGGGAGATGATGTCCGTCCAAAAGACCTGCTGATGACAGAGGAGTAAACATGCCAGGCGGCCTATGGATATTGTTAGAAGAAGAAATGATTAGCCAGGAGCTTTATAGTGATAAATGCCAAGCAGACTTACGAAGGCAGCAGACCGGCTTTCATCGCTTCCATGGCGTGCGCAACGCCACCAAAGGCAGTCGGGCCTTGAGTCCAATCCACATGTTCACTCAGATTGCTTTTGACCGCCTCATCAGTTGCTCGACCAACATTTTGCGCAACTTCCCAAACAATCTTCCTCCAATTATCGTCCCCGAGAGAAGCATCCTGGTTCTTGAGATATGGACTCACGTCAAAGGGAGACACAAGAAAAGTAGTTGCCATGACGGGCCCGATATAGGCTGCTTCTTGACAGATCTCGCTCAATCTAGTTTTCGAAGAAGCTGAGCGATCCTGATTACCACCAAAAGATGTCTGCCGTAGCCTGTTGCTCACACAGATAGGTGCCGCCGTGGTTCGGGACACATCTTCCGGAGGAAAGGTTTTGAGGAGTGCAAGCGCCTGCAAGGCCGTCAATAGTGCCGTCACAGTAAAGCCGTGCTCCTTGCAGATCTTGAAGACTTTTTGCGTCGTCTCTTGCGATAAAACCTTCCTTCTCACCGAATACTCGGTGTCAGGTCGGTCTTTGGCTGGTTCTTGCGAGATAGGGCAGAGAGTGATGTTGCCGAGATTGGCGCCAAGAAGCTGCGCTGCCTTTGCTTGAGACTCAGCATCTAACGGAGTATCTCCAATAGGATCACGAAGAAAGTCCAGATAGCAAGGGTGCAGAGAAGAGTGGGATGCATCCTTGTATGAAAGTGATAGCACTTGGGTGGTACTTAGGCCATCCGCAAGCTTGCTAAGAAGGTTATTGAGAACAGCCGCACCACTCCAGAAATCGTTCAGTGCATGATTGTAACGGATTGCAAGAGCAAAAGTCCCCGCCTCAGAGGACGAAGAAACAATCGATATGTGTATCAAATGGTCTCCAAGCTCAAGGCTGATGCGTTTCTCTGGAGTCGAGTAGAAGTCGTCCGTGAGTAACTTCAAGCCCTCTTGAGCTGACTTTTCGGTCTGCAGAACGGTAGTCCTCTGCTTAATCCTCTCAGATAAGTCATTGTCTGATGTAAGAGGACGGTAGACGAAGTCCCGAGACTTTGCAACCGCCGACTCATCTTGGCCACGTTCAATGACTGCGAGGAGGGAAGGCTTCTCAAGGCAAAGGCGCGATACTGCTCTGCTAAACCAAGTGTCAATGGGGGCTTTGCTGTTCAGATGAGACGCGTAAGACGGAGCAATTGTGAAGATGACAGCGCCCATCCATTCAGTCCAACCGTCGATCTCGAGCCACTGATCGAACATGCGCTCGGGGCCGATGAGCGGCCGGCTCCAGAGACCGTCGCTTCGTTGCTTCCATGGAGACACTTTGGGCATTATGCTGTTTCTTTGAAGGTGCAGAAATGAGCAATGTGATGTTGGAGTCAACATGATCACCCCGCTAATTGCTGTTCCTTTCGCTGCGCCATGATCGTCGCTTACGTTGTCGAATTAGTGCTGAGAGGAGACTAAATTCTCACGACGTGCCTCAGTACCCCGCTGGAGAGTATCGTGCTATTTGCTGTTCCGTAGCAGTATGGAATCCTTGCACTTTGTTGAGTGTGCTTTCCATCCATCATGAGACACGAGACGAGCCGCATTGCTTTATTCTCACCTTGTGGATAGAGCCAGCTTGCTTCAGTGGGGACACATGCTAAATAGAGGATGTCACGGAACAGCCGCAGCGAAGAGACCGATTTTTCGGGATGGTGTAGAGAACACAAGGTTATCTCAAATTGGATGCTAGAGATCATGAACTGTCGCTAGCTTCTCTTTGTAGGGTCCATCTTCGTCGGAAATGCCCCGGTCTTGCTTTTTCCGCTGGTTCGGTTCGGTAGTCGGAATGCGGGCTTTTCCGTATGGACCGAACGAACCTCGAATAAGCCCCAATATTCATGACATTGTTTCGCGCTCTTCATTTCGCATCAATTTCTATCAAAGCCCAATAGTTGGTAATCATTTGTGAGACATTCCCGAGTTCATAGTCTCTCGTTGGACCACATCAATCTTCCCCGCAGTATCGTCGCATCAGAGCTGGCTTCACATCTGTGCGACCACGACTGGAAGATTACCTTACCTAGACCAACATCGGCTGTACCCACGGAAAAGCCTAGCTATCCTGCATCATCAGTGTCCCTCGTTCATGCCGATCAATTGGCGCGACCCCGAATACAACCTTCGAAGAGGCAGAACAAGGATTCAGAAATGTCGACAAAGCGGGGTACATCGACAATAAAGAGTCGAGATGACTCTGGAAAACAAGAAACGAGCAAAACACAGCAATCTTGGTTCCTAAATACTACCACTATGGCAATTGGAGTACTTGCTATTGGCATCTTAGTTCCCTATAGCCTTGGCCTCTTCGGTGAGGCTCAGGCAAAGCCCACTGTCATCGACCCTGCCAAGCTACCAGCTACGGCCCAGATAATCGACCAGAAGAGCTTCAATGTTTTGGAGCATGTCCCTCCACCGAAAGAAGCTAATGCTACAACTGTGAGTTAGCATAAGAGTGGCTGTGACCTGTGCTGACACGGTGACAGAGGTTCCTCTGGCCAGGAGTTACCTATGAATCCCTGACTGAACGACCATTTCATGTTTACGATGCGGAGTTCCTTGATATAATCGGAAGCAATCCAACCTTGACATTGCTTGCTACTTCAGAAAAAGATCCCATTTTCCACGAAGCTGTTGTATGGTTCGTAAACCTAACGGCCTAGCATTTCGGTAATCACTAACGCGGAATTGCATAGGAACCCTCCAACTGCAGAAGTTTTCTTCGTGCAGAATGCAGGCGATCCGGATGCTGGGACAGGACTTGCAAAGTCATCTGTAATCCAAAAGATTTCTTTGGCAGAAGCTGAAGCTCTGAAGAATGGATCGCACACTGAGAGCCAAGTCAAGATCACGGTGGTAGATTCTGATCCGCAAGTCATCAACCCCAATGGTAAGTATAGTCCTTAGATATTGGATAATTGACGCATGCTCATAAATCGCAGGCGGAACGAATTACAAGGGACAGATCATCTTCGCAGGCGAAGGGCAAGGCGAGAAGATACCCTCGGCTTTGTATCTGATGAACCCCGAAGCGCCATACAATACAACAAGTAATGACTTCCTCAAATCTCTGCGCTGTGAAAAGTACTGACTGGGCCATTGTAGCCCTTGTGAACAACTTCTTTGGCAGGCAATTCAACTCCCTCAATGATGTCTCCGTCAACCCGCGCAACGGCGATATCTACTTCACAGATACCATGTATGGCTACTGGCAGTACTTCCGCCCCGAACCCGGACTGCAAAACCAAGTCTATCGCCTCGACCCAGACACTGGAGCGTTGACTGTTGTTGCAGATGGTTTCGTCGCTCCAAATGGTGAGGCAATGGGAATTCCCACAACATTTATGTGAGTTGGTTGCTGACGGTTAGCGAATTACAGGACTCACTTTCTCGCCTGATGGACTCCACGCTTATGTTACAGACACTGGCATAAGCAATGCACTATTCGGGCATAACTACACTCGTCCCTCCTCTATGTAAGTCTTGACTTTAGTAGCAAGGGCCAGACCTCTAATAGTCATGATAGCTACCGATTCGATGTACAGGAAGATGGTACATGGGACAGCCGTAAGACGTTTGCTTTCACAGCAGCTCGTCTACCGGATGGTAAGCATGATTGGACATTTCTTACTGCTAGCAGGCCGTGCTCTAAAAGACGACCAGTATGCTGATCTTTATGACCAGGAATTCATTGTGATTCCAAAGGCAACGTGTACGCGGGCTGCGGTGATGGCGTGCATGTCTGGAATCGCTCCGGAAAGCTCATTGGAAAGATTTACACAGGAGTCAATGCAGCCAACTTTCAATTCGCTGGCAAAGGACGCATGGTTATTATGGGGAGGAAAAAACTGTTCTATGCGACTCTGGCTGCTTCTGGAGCACCATTGAGTTGAGCTATTGACATAATCCGATACCTCAGTACGGGGGTTTGACTTCAGAGCGAGGCGTCAATTCTAGATCTACGACTGATGGTTGGCTGTTTTCCGAAGCTTGCAAACATAGTATTGCATGCGCAAAATAACAGGTTTCTGCGTGTTGAAGGAGTTGCATAGACATGGAGTAGTAACTGAATTACCAGAACAAGCTAGGATGCTGTCAACATCAAGCTTTAAGCTTAGTGATCGATCGCCATGGGTTACATTGTGATCAAGACACAGGCTAACAGGGCGGCACAGCACTCGGCCCCGAGCATCCATCCAGGTATCTGCCGATCCCTCACAAGGCTGTGCAGCTGATGCCGATCAATCAGGGGGTTGCTGACCGAGGCATCTCCGCCTGGTACGACAAAAGAATCCTACGATGATCGTGGCCTTGATTGTGACGTCGGACAATAAATCTGATTGGCATCGGTATTTGTTTATGCATGAATGTCAGCATCCTTCGTGTTTAGTCCAAATTGGAACGGGATGAAAAGGTCCCTTGCAGAGTGACATTCAATGCCTTTGATCAGCGAGGGAGTGGAGCTGAAACAGAACACGACTTGCCTATTTCGATTCTGTAGCTCACTTCTGACGTCAGATCAGTTTGTAAGGCAGAAATGTTCGTATAGCAGGCCACTAACACCAGGTAGGTAGGTAGCCATGCGCAGCAAAGAAGACAACCCAGCCTCAACAACTATTAGACAACAAGTCACCATAAACATGAGCTTTGTAGAAACGCATGGAGACCGCATTATTTTTGCGTTCTCAAGACTTCCTATACAATAAGAACGTCAATTATTGGCTTTCGCAAAGAATCGCGCTGTAGCAGAACTGCCTCCAATCCTACGCAGCCTCACAAACGTCCCGTCGACCCACGTGCCTGCCGATCAGTCTTGGCTTAAACCCGCCTCAGCATAGAAAACCCGACTCTGCAGCAGAGAATCGGCCATGATGTAATGGACTCTCCAACCCGTTTCAAGCCGGAAGTGCTGAAACAATCCTTCCAGCAAAGTATACCGTGGATAGACTGGAAGGATGCACTTTGACTGGCCTATCACAGCACACAGATCGTATCCGCTAGCACTGCCGGCAGATGATCTTGAGTGATATACCCGAAAAGTGCATAACTTTCTGGCGACTTTGTTGCTTATGACGAGCAAGATCCTGACAAGATTATGATCAACATGGATGCAACGTGCTTGCCTAAGATGTGCATTTGAGCTGAGCACCCATGGACAAGCCGCGATCAAGGTTGTCAGTCGTAAAATGTTGATCTATTCAAGACGAGAACCTGTCCCCAAGAGCTTCAAACAGGTATAAATACGACACCATCCCCCTTTATTTTAACTCCCATCTCATCAACATCTTCACCTCCCATCACAACGTCAAACAAACAGCCACCATGCAGAACAAGCTCATCACCGCCGCCACCCTCCTGAGTGCCCTGGCCTCAGTCCAGGCATCTCCCGTTTCTGTTTCCAGGCGAGACGTTCTCACAGCCCTTCCTGGAGGCGCTTCTGATATTGAGAACAAGTTCCAGCCTGCTCTTGACTTCGACGGCGACGGCTGCTACCAGACCGCCGCCATCGATCCTGATGGCAACTTGAACCCTGGTCACGGTGCCACTGGTACTCCCCAGGGAGACTGTCGTGATCCTCCTCAGCTTGATAACAGCAACACCTATTCTCGCAAGCGTTGCAACAATGGCTTCTGTGCCATTATGTAAGTCTTTCTCTTCAACCTCAAACAAGAGGGTTTCTTCATCTTAGTGTACATACTAACATTGAACCTCAAAGGTATGAGACCTACTATGAGAAAGACCAAGCTGTTGGTGGCAGCTTTCTCGGAGGCCATCGCCACGACTGGGAAAACATCGTCGTTTTCACCCAAGGCGACAATGTCGTCCGCGTAGCTCCCTCTTGCCACGGCAAATACGACGGCGCAAGCAACCAATTTCCCAGCGACGGAAGCACCCCTCTTCTCGTTTATCACAAGGACGGTGCCGGAACTCACTGCTACCGTTTCGCCAACGACGATGATCGGGCTAACCCCGAGAACCCTACTGGGTCTTTCTTCAAGGCTCCTCTTGTTGGCTGGGATAACTGGCCTGATGTTGGTCTGCGAGACAAGATGCTGCAGAACTGGAGTGGTGGTGTTGGACCTAAGCTGGATGATGAATTTGGTGATTCGCTCAAGGCGGCTGCTGGTGATGGTGTTCAGGGCTTCGATCCTTACAAGGACGAGTAAAGATAGGGAGGACTAAGGGCATGCTACTATTTAGTATCGCTATTGAATATGATTGACTTCGCTGAATGCATCGCCGCAGAACTTTCCCCCTGGGTATTGCCTCTTGTTCTGCTCCCTCCTGGGCGTTCTTTGCCCTGGATTGTACATTCAGAATTTCAGAGCCTTGACGTTCGATCTAGCACCATGAGATGAGCACAAGCAAAGCTACCTGATCTCAACACTCCGTTGCAAGACCTCAGCCATCTTCACATACCTAGACTTGTTCCTCTCCAGTTCCTTAAATCTGTACAGCCCATCATGTCTCTCACACCCTTCCGGCATACGTTCATCAAAGTCATCGATAGCCTTCCAGAATCTCTGCACATCACCAGGGTGAGTGATGACGAAAGCTCCAACTCGTATGTACCATCGGTTCCCATTCTCACCCCGTATTTCGTCCAGAACCAGGCAATGTACGGGGTTGGTGAAGTACGCCATGTTTGCAAAGACAGGAACCGCAATGGCCGACTTGCAGTTTATAGCCTCTTGATCAAACCTCACATCCCAGTAGTTTTTACTTTGAATTTCGATCAATTCATCACCACGACCTCCCTCACTAGTTGCGGCTCCCAAGTCCACAATTTTCATGTCGCTCACGGGCCCCAATTCGACGATAGGTAGGTACGAACACCGCAGACGGAGAAATGATCCAGTGGAGGCGCAGTGTCTCAAACCACTAGATGGTATTGCTTGATTCAGAGGGAGAATACTTGTATCAATGACTTTGGTGAAGTAAATATCCACTGACCTCACTTCCTGTGGTTCGATGATGGCATCCTTGATCGAACACCAGGACCATGTTGGAGCAATGTAATCGTCGTAGCGTTTCCCAGGTGCTGAAGGAGTGTTTCCATCATATTCGAATAGATATTTGCGTGGCATTGCTCGCCATACCAACTGCCTCTCGACATATGGCCGCCATAGACCAGCGAGAAAGAGCCCTGGCGACCTAGGATAGGATGAATCTTTCTGAGCTTGTGTATCGTATTTCTCACGGCCATCTTCAAATTGATCTACAGACTCCACCATATGTTGAAAGAGGGGGTAGAGTACATCAATAAGGCCTGACAGCGCAACAAGCTTATCAGTCGCAACCGTGAGCTGTCCCTGGGAGTAGGATCGAACTACTTGATTCCAGTTCCGAAAAACATTCTCAGGAGTCAGATAAGACAGATTTCCGTTTCGTGCGTTGAGAACAAACCGTTTCAGTGAAGTCAATACGGCAGTGTTATGCCTTATCGTTGGGTCACCGCAAGGCAGTCGTTCGCACACTGCGTCCGAGCAACACTCGAAAGCAACTTGTTCAAGCCCCAGATGCAGTACCCTTGACGCTAAAACACGCTCCTGGAGAGCCCAGGCTCCTCGATTCAACTCTGAGTCTGAGATGCGTTCCCACCAGTTGTGATACTCGGATATGCAATAATTACTGGGGAACCCATCGCCCCATTCACGATGTATGTATACTGGGTACCATGGGCGGGCGGCTCGTTTGTCGGAAGGGCAGAATAGCCCGTAGCCAGCCACATCATCTCCGTCAGCCGAGAGGTTGAGCCATGAGTTCCCATAGATGGAAGCCATACGACCGACCTCATGTTGCCAATCTGCAGGGTCGTCTTGGACTATACAGAGTGCGCCAATCCAGAGATATTCATGACTCAGCCTTTTGGTGGTGTTACAGGCATCAATGAAGACGCGGGAGAGCTCATGGACAGGAATTGAAAATTTAAAAGCTTCGATGTTGCTGCGAGTAAGCTGAAGAGCATTTCCTGCACCAGGGCAATGGCTCAGGGTCAGGTACTCAACATCGTCGGATATATCCTGACCTTCGACAAGGCGGACTTGAAGCGCAGCCGTTGTATTACAGACGTAGAGCAGTCGAGTTGGCTTCCAGGTGGATGTCTTCTTAAGTTTGCAATCTGTATGGTGTTTTTCACATCTATCAAGCCATTCTCTGACCGATTTCCAAGTAGTCTCAGTCTGATCGGATCCAGGCAACGGCTTTATGTTGATGTCTTTCGCGTCTACACTCGCTAGTCAGCTCTGGTGTATCTCAAATCGGCCATCCAAGCCCAAACTAACCATTGATATCGATCGTATCGAGAGCTGCCCAAACATGTCCGATGCCCGGCCAAACAATTTGTGGCTGTTTTGGAGAACTCAGAAACACAAGCGTCACATCATCGACGTTTTGCTCTAATGGATGCTGTCTCAGTACGACATCTTGGTTTCGAACTCTCAGGTTTTGGCGAGAATACTCAAGGGCCCCAAGCCACATTGCACAAAGTCCGCAGTAGCGCGAGGATTCGGTGAGTCCTGAGAGAGCTCTGGTGCGGATTGGCTGGATCAGCTTGTCATCGCGACAAAATTCACAAAGGGTACCGCCTTGCACCGAGAGAAATTTCGCGGAAGGTGCAAGAGCGCTGGAAGGAGAAGTTGGAGTCGACATATTTGTCAATGATTGTAAATTGTGTTTTTGGCCTTTGCGACGCGACAGAAGTTTAGCTCCGAAAAGACGAGTGAGGCGAAGCACGGCAACTTTTAGCCGGCCTGGCGAATCCTGTGGATTACACCAGAAGACAAGATCTCGGCTTGCTCTGAGGATCAGGTGATCTTTGTCAATGAATTGCAGTATCATAGAGAATCTGCCGTCAGTGGTGTAGATCTCATTATGTTCAAGGCTTGAACACTCTGGGGCTTTGAATGGGACAAGTTCAAAGTCGACCTTGGGATTAAGCCAGAACCGGCCAGTGAGATTACCGCTGTGCGCCACATCTCTATTTTCGTATTCGATCCTGACATATCTCCTCTGGTAGCCGTGCGGACTGGGATCATAAAAACAGTCAAAGTAGTCCATACAGTGAAGATCGAACTGGCTGTCGATAGGACCCAGTTGAGTTAATTGGCTTCTGGACACGGATATCCCCAAGGCGTCATATGCAGCCCGCACTTCTCCAACCTTATCTTCCCCGTCTTCGCTTGCATCTTCTCTACGGTTTCGGACAATCTCTTTGCGCTGGAAAAGCTCTCTTTTGGGTTCCTCCCGCTTCTCTCTTAAGCGATGCTATTCTGCTGCATGAGGTCCATTGTACGTTACGGTCTCGTCTGGATTGATTTTATCAAGGTCGGAGATATCTTCATCAAAGTCCCAGAGTATAACCCCATTTCTCTTGATAGCTGAGAAACGCGATAGTCCCAAGTAGGTAATTCTGAGGATGAAGCCATCTTTAGGATGATGGGCGATGACAGTTCTTGAAATTAACATCACGGGCGGGGTCAGCAATTTCAGTCAAAGGGAGGCTGTAGCTTCTGGCAATCAGTAAGACCTTAAGGGTCGACTTCAAAGCTGAACTGAGGATGTAAGATGAGCGACAGGGATTGAAAAAAAAAAAAAAAAAGATATGTGCGTCTGTTGCTTGAGTATGAAGAGCAAGAAAATGCAAAAAATTGAATCCCCGAAACCTGGATCGAACAAGTGACCTTTCGGTGGCAATATCAGTTACAGCCGAACGCTCTTCCAGCTGAGCTATTCGGGGAGAAGGTCTGGATTCTTGAAAACATGTTTGCAAATGCAACTCATACTCTTCCACGGAAATGAAAGTGCACCAAGTGGAACTGAGCATTCGAATCAAGTAAGTGCCGTTCATTTCGTTCAGTCTGTTGGACCCCTCATGGCATTGCTATACAATACTGCGATTCTTACTAGTCATCTCTTTGCTAGTGTCATTGATCCATGCGCAATTGACCTTCTGAATAGAGCCTCACCGAAGTAACCTTGTCGCTAACAAGGTTTTCACGTCAACAGCACTGCAACGTTCCTCGTTACCATTCGATCTCCGCTCCATTTCCGAATACTACTTCCGACTCATCACCCGGAAATCCTCTTCCTTCCTCTTGATACTGACTCATTCCCCAATGCGAAAATGTAAGCGAGGTCACAATGATGCCAGAACTAGTAACTCGGTGAAAAACACCGCCGATCACGGTGCCGATAACTCCGATCGGCGACACCCCGCAACAATTCATATCATATCGATTCGAGCACGCGATCATTCATATTCTCTTTCTCAACTTCAATAGCCCACGCAATGGCAACACAACGATCATCGCTTGGTCAAAAAGCTGACTGGCTGTACCACGAGTCGGGAATCTCTGCTGTGTATTCTGCTGGTAGAGATGCCTGGCTGCTTATTCTCTCACGGACATGTCGCATGTTTGCATTCAAGGCTGTCACGCTTACGATAGCGCAGTTCTTCTCGGAACTGGGGTTTTCTGATTTCAGGATTGGCTTGTTCATGAGTTTGACGTTGTTGGGCGATGTTGTGCTCGGTTTGGTTGTAACGCTCATGGCCGATGGGCTTGGTCGGCGGAGGGTATTGGTGGCGGGTGGCTTTTTGATGGCTGTCTCGGGCGCGATATTCTCTATCTTTGAGAATTTCTGGATTCTCCTGTTCGCTGCTGTCGTTGGTGTGGTCAGCGCGAGCGGAAGCGACTTTGGTCCGTTCCGAGCCATCGAAGAGTCTATGCTGTCTCACATCACGACCCCGAAAACGAGAGCTGATGTCTTGGCTTGGTACATCACCAGTTCGAGTCTTGGTGCTGCAGGGGGTGCGGCGCTGGCAGGAAGATTTGTCGAAAACATGACAAAGCGAGAGGGATGGAATCTTGTGAGGGCATACCATGCGACTTTCTGGGTGTACATCCTCATGGGTGCACTGAACGTCTTGTTTGCGTTTGTCATGAGCAATAAGACGGAAGCCCATCACGATGACTCTTCAGAAGCTTCCGACGAACTAGCTGAAGGGCTTCTACGCGAATCCATGGAGGAAGAGGAAGATGCTCGGAGGAGAAGACAGTCCGTGACAGCAAACCCCCCTGAGCCAGTCAGCCGCTTTTCAAGCGTTTCGTCTGGTACCAGGTCTGTCATGTACCGGTTATGGTTTCTCCTAACCATCGATTCTCTTGCCGATGGAATGGTTTCGGAATCTCTCACGACTTACTTCCTTGATCACAAATTTTCACCTTCAAAGACTACCCTCGGAAACATCTTCTCATCAGCCCAAGTCTTGGCAACCGTCTCAACAGTCTTTGCAGGACCTCTATCTCGTCACTTAGGTCTTATCAACACCATGGTTTTTACTCATCTGCCGTCTTCAATTTCAGTTCTGTTCTTCCCTCTACCCAGTGGTCTGGTTCTCACGGTCATACTCCTCTTCATCCGTATGGGTCTCAACAACATGGATCAAGCACCCAGAGCAGCCTTCATCGCGGCTGTTGTCAAGCCTGAAGAGCGCACTGCTGTCATGGGAATCACTTCGACGCTCCGAACCCTGGCCATGGCCACTGGTCCTTCACTGACTGGAGGGCTTGCTGAATCTGGGAAGTTCTGGATTGCGTTCTTGGTGGGTGGCATCTTGCGAATCATGTATGACTTGGGTCTCTGGTTTATGTTTGTAAACATGAGACTGCATAGTCACGAGACGCATCATGAGGAGCCAGTCCCAAGAGGGCAGTCTATTGATGAAGAGGATGTGGAGATGTTGCGGCAGTCGATCGAGAGCGAAAGTTCTGATGAGGAGCATCGAAAGTGATGCATAAAAGAAGCTACTCCAAGATGAAATACTGAGGGAACAAAAGAGCCTGATGGTAGTTGTACATGTGATCTGGCCGCTGAGGCCTAGTGCCGTAGCTATGAAAATGATGCTGGGTACACAGAAATCAGATGCTGATATGAAGTTAGGTTTAGGGGATTACGAGTAAACGACAAAGCATGTGAACTTGGGATATATGCCATATTTATAGAAATGATTTTATGGTATGTAAAAGAACATGGGTATCCATATCGTCGTGACTCATCTAAACAACGCCTTCAAGATTAAAAGCACAACCAAGCAATCGCAACCAATGACCCCCCAATCGCTGTCATGAGTTCAGACCCTGACAGAATGCACCTCGCAGCACTTTCCTCATCGCTGCTACTGCCACTTAACGCCTCTGACATATAGGTCATGGTGTTCGGCGTAGCAGGATAGTAGTCGTCGTTGTAGGTCGAATTCAACGTCACCCGCCCAACAACATCGCCAGATTCGAGACGAATGTAGGACTCTACGTCCCCCTTCTCCAACATATCCTCTGTGACAACGATCTCTCGTGCACCGCGGATCCAATCGCCGTAACCGCCATACCCAGAATGCTGTCCATAGCACAGATGGATACCGTTGCCTTCGACAGTCATTCCTTCGAGTTTCTTATCCCAGCGATAGCACCACGTGTTTCCATGATCATGACCAGAAAACAGCCCGATGACTCCAGGAACAGTGACCAAAGCCTCCATGAATGGCACGTCCTGGCCTCCGTAATCACAAGTCTCGTTAGGGTCTGCATTCTCACACCACCCTGCTCCTTGCTGAAACACCGGAGGATCCTCGTTGATGCCCGGCTGGTAGTTCTTCCGGATTCCAAGCTCTGTTTGGAGTGCAACTGTGGCGTTGACTGGAACGTGGACGAATGCTAGCGAAGGGAGGGTTTTGTTGTACTTGTCGTTCAACTCGATACTTGTTTCATTGAACCAATCAACAACACTTTGGTCAACCCAGTTTGGCTGATAAGACCCCTGATAATAGTTACCGCCGCGACTATCGAAGAACCATAGGATGAGATTCGGGCTGCAATCGGTAGTATCGGTACAGTCCGAGGGGTATACAGGCAGATAGTAATTTGTTGTGCCCGACAACTTCTTGTTAACCATTTTCTGCGTGCGCGCTCCAGGGAACAGTTGTTCGCGCTCAAGAATATCATCGCCAGCAATGTTGTAGTTATGGTCATGGTTGCCATATGTAGATGCCCAGGTCAAGCTGCGGTTGACGATTGGCTCAACAATCATGTCAACGTAATGCGTGCTGTTGTGAGCAAATGTTGAGTCTCCATTGATGAGATCGCCGTTAAGAACGACCAGATCAGGCCTATCGTAGTCGAGGACTTTGCGGATCACTTCAACAGAATTGCGATCCTGTTCAGGACCTGTTGATGATTCATCTATAACCGAGGGTCAATTGCAATTCTTGCCGTCGATTGAAGAACTCACATTGCCCAAAATGCATATCGGAGAAGATGGCGATCTGAAAAGTACCATTCTTGGTGAACCGCAATGGCTCAAGATCGGTGTTATTGACATCGGTAGCACAGCCAAGAGCAGCTAAGAAAGCTAAGCCAACAGTATGTCGTGTTATAATCATGATGGACTAATTAACGATATCAATGGGAACAATAAACGAAGTCGGTCACGATAGTTCTGGCCAAGTAATCGATTGACATATCGGCGGTCCAGCAGTTTTAAGAAAGTGCTCCAAAGGAAGCATCGTCACATCGATGCGTCATTCCTAGAAGCATGAAAGAAAAATACTATTCGACGATGCCTAATCAGTCTAGCCCTGGACGACGCACGGAGGTTAAAGAGGGGAAAGCATGCGACATCGTATCAGATTGTCGTGGTCAGGCGCGTAGGCCCAGCAAGGGGGACAAGCAGTGGCGCTCTTCTGAAATCTGCAGCGATGGGCCTAACGTTTTAGCTGGGAGAGAAAATCAAGTAACGGAAAAGGCGGGAGTGTTTGAGAGGCATTCTACTAAGACCTGTAAGTTATGCTGCTAGTTTAGGTGAATTGAGCATCGATGATGCATTGTCCCGAATAGAGAGAGACTATCTTGATACGAATATTATAGTTTAGATGCTACTGAACCTGTTGATCAGGTATATCTACGTCCATCTGCCGAACTCAATCACTTCAGGTCTGATCTGATGCACCGATCGATTTCGGCTCCGGGCCCGAGAAGTGGGCGCGCATTTCGACCCGACCACCTTCGTCATCCCGTGGAGCTAGCAAACTCTAAAGGAGCATAGCCTTGAAATTGATGAATTTTCTGATCAATAATCGCTTCAATCGACGCGTAAGTCTCTGCGTCAACATTACCTAAGCCCTGTTCAAGACATGGGAACTTGACTTCAACTGATGATTGGAGGCCGAATGCGGTAATTGACCATGCGCCCACTTTCCGTGATGGGTTTGACTCGTGGGTGAGTGAGTGGGTATTCATGGACCAGATCAAGCGAGCACTGGTGTTGTTTTACCAGCCGTTCTTATTGTTTCCATGGCAGTTCTTTGTTGACCCTGGTTCGATTCCCCTGTCTGTAGGGAGGTTCCGGTAGTCACCGACACTGGTTAATGAGAAATGCCAAAAGTCCAGCATTTGAATCTATAAACTCGCAAGGATGAATTAGTTGATGAACCAGACACCGCTTACTCGGGCCTTGAGATTGAGATTGATGACGTCTCGGAAAACAGACTGTAATCTGATACATTGAGCCCTTGTCAATCGCAACCTTATTTTAGTTGTTGGGTGGTCATTCAAGCAGTCAGAATGCACTGGTGAAGTGTAAATCTTGAACAACCCAAGCTGCATTGCATGGTTGAAAGCCAAGGTTGCGAAAAGGCCGTACATGACTGGGAGAAGCAATTCGTAGCCCAGCACACTCTTGTATATTTGGGAATGCGAAAAATAATCCCTAGGTTTGCACTCTTGTGGGTCATGGTAAGAACTTGGTTCAGTAGCCGACCTGGCAACGGAAGAGCACTGCCAGTGGAGGGATTGTTTGCACGGCGAAAATTGCATGACCTGGATAATTCAGCACGGCCCAAGTCAAATGACTTGGGAATTTTGGCCGGAAAGACAGTTCTTCCGAGATGACCACTGCAACTATCCCAGCGAAAGCTTCCGTCAAAAGTTCTGGCGTAACCTGCTCCTTCGGATGGGGCTTCCGTTAGGTCAGATACACGAGTATCACAGACACTTTCTTCCCAGCCAGTTTCTCCCGCATTTTTTTGTAAGAAAGATATTTAATTGGCACTATGGTATCCGTGACAGTCACATCATCAACCCACTCTGTGAGACCATCGGCTGTCTGCGAATATCGTGGCGAAAAATAAGGTGTTACCCTAAAGTGTGCCCTGTGAAAACATCTACAAATGCCTCTATTGACAACCTTCCT